CGGGCCGCACAGGTGCCTCCCGAGCTGTGCAGCGCCGAGGTGCGAGCCGCAGCATCACGGAATGCTGGGTTGGAAGGAACGTCAAGGATCGTCTGATCCAACCTTTCTCAAGTTGAGTCTTCAAAGTGTGCGGTGTTGGGAAACACACCCCTTCCCTGGGGAGATTACTCCGATGTCCACATGTTCTCATAGTGACCAGTTTTCTTCTGGTGACCAGATCTCACCAGGAGTAACTTGCACACGTGTCTTTTCCATCTGCCTCCTTGTAAAGAGGGAATCTCCATCTTCTTGGTAGCCACCCTTTGAGTACTGGAACATTGTACTAAGGTCTCCCTTAAGCCTCCTCTTCTCCAGGCTGAACAAACCCCATTCTCTCAGCCTCTCCTCATGCAGCAGGCTTTTGATCTCCTCTGTGGCTTTCCTCTCGATCCTCTCCAGCCTGTCCACATTTTTTGCACAGTGGGGACCAGAACTGAACAGGTGTGGCCTGGCGGGTGCTGAGTAGAGTGGGATGATGACTTCTTTATCTCTGATGATGATGCCCTCATGGATGCAACCCAGCATCCTGTTGGCTTTCCTCACCACTGCAGCACACTTCACTCTTACTGACCTTGTCCACCAGGATCCCCAGGTCTCTTTCCACAAAGCTGCTCTGCAGTAGGAGAGTAGGTATGTGGAAAGGAGGTGGGAAACACGCACTAGCGCTGGGGAAGCAGGGAGGAGATGGTGCCACACACAGCCCTGTGTGACAGCAGGAGGCATTTAAGCACACCCCCCTTTAAGCACAGGCTGGAGATGATGTTCAGCTCAGCAGGACAGCAAACCTGTCCTCGTCCTGGGTGGGGATAGGTCTGGGAACTGGTCAGAGGGATGCAGAGAACAGATCTGACAGCTTAATACACTGCAGCTGCCCATGGTCATCCTACACCCCTACGGCAACACTCAGATACGAAGTCATGAAAAAATTAAAGGCCAGTGAACTGTAGATCCCAAGAAAAATGGGTGTAGGAGGTATGGCTGGGAGAAGATGGAAAGCAAAGAGAGATGGC